ATAGCCAATGTGTTTTACTAATGCCATCACTGTTAATGTTTGCTGTGTGGGGCTGAGATAAAGTTCTTGGCTTACCTTTAGACACATCAGGTTGGCACAGACATTTTGAATTTAGCTAGATTCCCCCAAGAATATCCCTCCTGCTCATCTGCATGGTCACAATCAGTTGGCCAATCGGCCATCCTTAGTTGTAGCAGCAGAGTCTTCCCAGTTTGGGCTTCCAGTTGCAGGTACTTCAGACAGCTCCCTAAAAATGACAACCAGAAATAAAATGTAGGCCTCTGGCTTGGGCAATGCCATCCTTACCAAGACTTCTTATTTGGTGGCCACATCCTCTAGGACTTTTCAGGTCCGTGGCACCCACATGTGAAGAGTTGCTTGCTATAACTTGCTGCAGTTGTATGTTCATTATGGATAACTGGCCAGTGGTAATGGAGGCTCAAATGTACTGTCGAATAGGCAGCTGAGAAGGCAATGGCTGCTTTTCTGGGTCATTGCATGTTCTAGAAGATACTTTCTTGGCTTTACAGTTGAACATTATTGAAGTTGAGCTGGCTGTATTCTCTAGTTTTGGCGACTGAGTTGCATTTAGGAAGAGGAGCGTGATGGCTGTTAATTCAAGCCGGACAGGAACTCTCGGAGATGTTGGTGGGAGGATGACAGAAACAGCTGGACTGCCTGTCTTGATTGGCATAAGAACCAGTGAGTGTTAATATTTTTGCAGGTTGTGTTCCCAGCAAAAAGACATAAAGAACCCGAGATTTGCATGTAGAAAGTGGGGTGGAGGGGAATGCTTTTGTGTCACTATCTATGGGAGAGTAAAGGACACACGAATAAGCAGACAGAAAAGATGAATTGCTCTGCAATAAGGGACTCAGCCAATCCTTGAAGGGTCTCTGGACCTCTAGAGCTGTCCCCAGTTGAGGCAAGGGTGCTGGGCTTCCATTCCTCTCATCCTCCCACCTTCCATGTGGGTGCGTTGGGTGAGAGCTGCCTCCAGAGCAGTGACTTGCCTGAGGTTGCTCTCTGGTGACTCAGCTGAGAGCTGTCAGCCTTCATTATTCCCAGCAGCTAGAAAACATGTGGGCTGTAATTCTGAAAAGATGGGATGGGGTGAGGGGAGAGATGGATTTTTGCAGCACACAATAGCACCCACTACGATCTTGTTCGTGTTGTAAGGAACAGACATGTTCAGTTAGGAGGCATTTATTATAAGCTGACCAATTTAGGTGAGGAAACATAGGAAACCTCTTAGCACATGCACATATTGACCACATGTAAAAACTAACATCATTCAGGATTCAACAGGATCGTGCTGCCTAGTAAGCTTGTGGCCAGCCCAGAAGCAGATATCCTGCTCCTGCTCTCCTGACTCCACCATCATTGCAATGAGCTTTTCTCTCTGTGCCTCCCTCTACAGGCCTCCATATCCATTGTTCTCTCTTTTCACATCTTCCAATTGCTCAGCATCTCTTTTGCATTCATGTCTTCCTAAGAGAGAATGTTTTCAGGCCCCTTAGTTGTCCTTTAGACAATAGAGTGTTGCAGTTGGGTTGATTTTAGGGGTAAGGCAACCTCAACTTATGACTGGCTGCCTTTGGTCAGGGAACCAATTTTTGTTTCAGTTTAGTTGTGGTCACGTGGCACGAAGCAAGTCAAGATTTATTTAAGGGCCCAACTTGTGGTCACTCTGCTTCGGAGGGACCAGGAGCCTGGTAGGCACTTGAAGTGTTTGGACTCTGCTACAAAAGAGTTTTCAACTTTCCTCCTAGAGGGAAATCACAGGATATTGAAATAGAAGCAGGCACAGTCCAGCCCAAAATTAAGGTGTCAAATTAATAAATGTAATTCTTATTATGTTTGTGAAGATTTTTAATAAATAGTAGGGCCTGAATTTTTGGGTAAGAAGAAATTGAAGCACTGGAAATATCTGATGATATTACTATGGAACAATAACTATCCAAAAACTGTCTTTAAAAATCAAATCAATATGTACACATAATTCTTTTGAACAGTAGCAGCAGCTTAAAGGTTTAGAATAGCATAGGAATGATGTCCCCCCTTAAGAAGGACAATAGGACTATGTCCCCACTCACTCTTCTTTTCATGCTTGTCATCTTTTAGCTGTCTCTTTTGTTTGTTACAGTTTATACTGCCGTTCCTTCATTTCAGACATTCTCTAATTTTTATTAAGTTATATGAAAATTGCGTTATCTTAAACCTGTTCCTTCTTTTGGTTAAGGAATTATATGAAATTCAACCATACTTAAAAAGTTTCAAATATTATCCAAATTTCTAAATAACCTGTCACAATGTTGGACTTAGTCACAAGATCATAACTAGTAATAATATGGGACAGGAAATATAGCCTTTTTGCTAGGCACGGTGTCACTGTGAATAAAATCTTGGTTCTATCGGAATGGAAGAAGAGGAAAATACGTGTTGAGTAGGCAACCAGCAGTCACTTCCATGTCCTTGTAAATAAAAATATTTTTCTTATTTTAAAAAATTATGACATTTAATTTTCTAAATAAAAATGGTGGAAAATACTAGAAGGCTTAGAAATGGAGGAGTTTCTTTTCTTTTCTTTCTTTCTTTCTTTTTTCTTTTTTTTGACAAAATAGCTGTAGAGTTTTTCAGGAGAAACATTTTTTATGTATGTAGAACATTACTTGTAATATAATACTAACTTATACAGAGCTGTAAGGTTTTCAAAGTTGTTTCAGAGAACATAATTAAGTCCTGTGTGATAGGCGGAACAGGGATTGCAACCTTTATTATATAGGTAATAAAACTGCAGCACAGAAGGAATAAATATTTTCCTCAAGTTTATGTGGCTATGAATTCTAATTCATTCTCTAGTTTTCCTACTTCAGCATCATGTAGAGGCATTGTGAGGAGGAGACTCTTCCATGCAGGGACTTGGTAGTGTTGGGATGGGGAGGGGAGTTGCTACAGGCAAACGTGGCACCAATGTCAAGGTCACTTACTTTCTCCCCAAGCTGTTCTTCCTATGAATCATTGCCTATTTGTCAAATAGGACTGGACTCTCCCCACCCGCTGCTTGGGACTCCCACTCACTGTAGTGTAGTAAAAAGTGTTGGCATTAAATCCTGTTGTTACAGGAACTGTCTGGATTTGGGATCTACACGAGGCACAATGCCAACCTGGTAGTTAATGGCCATTTGGTCATAGAGTTAGTAATGCAAATGTCAGTGGCCTGGCCTCTGTATTTTCATGCATAAAAAGAGATCAACAAGAATCAGATTATTTGGAGTTGCAGCTTGTTCAATAATAGACTTACTGAATATGAAAACAAGTGGTTTCCCAGAGTTTAGGGAAAATGAAAATGCTAAGTATAATATATTTTACACATTCAGATGTCATGAAATTCTTGTTTTCACTTAGTTATTAATTTGAGCTGTGTTTGGATTAGAGAGTTTCTAAGTGGCAGGTCTATTGGAAAGGAAAAAAAATTAGTCACAGTATTGTACCTTAAGGAAAAAAGTGGTTAGTGATTATCAAAGCATGTTAATTTTTAACTGAAAAATTAGTTGACTGTTTTCCTGGAAGGATATGACCAATAAAACTATTTAAAAACAAACTTTTAAAACCACATAATCAAGCACAGAGTTGAGGCTTGTGTTGTATTAGGTACTGAAAGCACTTTACAGCTGAGTAAAATTACTGACAATATTTTCAATATAAAATGTCTATACATTCAAACCATATATGTAATTGCATGCAGTAGTTTAATGAAATGAAAATTTCTCCCTCAAATTCCAAATACCTGAGTACCTATACATCATAGTAATTTATTTAGGCTTTCTGAATATTCAATATCAGTAAAGATACATTACATAGAAAATACTTAGTAACAGAGGTGTTTCTGGTGACCTTGTCTTTCACATTACATAGTTTTGGGTAGAAGAAAATGTAACCTTCACATTTTTTTGAACTTTCTTTTTATGGAAAATTTCAAACATATATGAAAATATAATATAATAATATAATAGAATATAATATAATAGAATAATAGAATAATATAATAAACCTTTAGGTACCTATCATCCAGCTCAACCATGACAAATTCTTGGCTAATACTGTTTCATCTACACCCCATCCTCTTTTGCCCCAAGTATTTTGAAGTAAATACCAGACAACATACTTTTTAATCTGTAAATACTTCAGTTACTATATACCTCTAAAAGATAAGCTATCCCCTTTTCCAAGCGTAACCCCGGAGGTAGATTATAGATGGCCTCACACTTTCTCCACTCCTCCCTTGAGAGGTGGAGTTTAATTCCCCTCATCTTGAATCTCAGCTGCCATAGTGACTTGCTTGACCAGTAGAATATGGGAGGAAGTGTCATTCTGGCATTTCCAAACTTAGGTCATCAGAAGCTTTGAAGCTGCCAACTAGACAGCTTGGCACACATTCTCTGAGAACCCTGGGCTGCCATATAAGAAGTCTGAAAACCCCGAAACTGTTACACTGAACATGTCACATCTAAGTGTTCTGGTCAAAAGTCTCAACTGAGCCCAGCCTTCCAGTTTTTCTCTCCAACTAGCCAGACACGTAAGTCAAACCATCTTGGACCTGCTAGATCTGCCCATCTGCCCCAATGAATACCACCAAGTGGCTTCATTTGGTGACACATGAAGCAGAAGAATCATCCAGCTGAGCCCGACTCAAATTCCCAGCCCAAAAAGGTGTGAGATTTAATAAAATGGCTGTTATTTTAATCCGCTAATTTTGGGGGTTATTTATTATCCTGCAATAAAGTCCGATAATCATGAAATAATGATCATTCCTAAAGTAATTAACAAGCACTTCCTAAAATATCAAATATCCAGTGTTCAAATCACAAGTATTTGTGATTTGCAATTTGTCCCATAATTTTTTTTAGCATTTTGTTTTAACTGGTATTAAAATAAGGTCCATACATGGTAATTAATTTTTATATCTCCTAAGTCTCTGTTAATCTATTGTTTTTCTCTTCTTTTTTTTTTACCTTTCAAATTATTTATTTAAGAAACTGGATCATTTGTCTTCAGAATTTCCCATAATCTGGATCTTAGTACTGTTAATATGGTCTCTCATTACCTGTGTTTCCTATAAGCTGGTAATTAGATCTAAAGGCTTGATGCATTTCAAGTTTGATTTTTGGCGAGTCTATTTCACAGTTGGTGTTCTAAACTTCTATTAGGAGGCACATCACATGAGTTTGTGTCTTGTCCTATGATGTTGGCAGCTTAGATCCATTGCTTAGATACATCAGTTAATTTGGGGTTACAAAATGGAGAGTGTATCAGTGAGCTCTTACTGTGTAAGAAAGGATCAGAGAATCTCAGCAGCATACAACAGTAAGTATATATGTCACTTATTTATCATCGCTTCTACCTCATCTTAGTGGCTAAAGCAAGTCATATGGCCAAATCCAAAGTCAAGAGGTGGAAAAGTAACCTTGTCTCCAGTTCAAGATGGAGAGTCAGGCTCCAGGCCAGAATCCTCTGTGTGTGCCCATTCAGACCTAACCATAGGCCATTCCAAGGCCTTACTTGGCAAGCCTCCTGAGGGGAAGCTGCCTTGCCCAGACCAGACTTGGTGCACAGCCAGTACACTGCAGTCTCTGGAGGGAGTGACAGTAAAGGACTCATGTCTCCCTGGCTCCCCAGCCCCCTACCCTCCGGTCAGCCATGTTTTTACATTTGGTTACATTCTTAGCCCATGTGCCTCCATTTAGTGGTCTCTTTCTTAGGGGCCTCAGTTAAAGTACTTTTGAGGTACATCCTCGAAGACCCCTTATTGTGAGCCTTGGCTGAGGGCATTTTTCTGCCCTTTGACTCAGTACTTCTGCACTCTGACCTTTTTCCTCTCTCCCTCCTCCCAGTCTCTGGCCCATTTCTTCAGGGCTCCTTAGCAGTGAGATGATTCCCCTGTCTACACTGCATCCTCCTGACTTTGTCTGGTGTTGAGCACTGAGGAGACAGTGCCTTTCTCTTTTGCCTCTTGACTGCATTGTCACAGTAAGTGAATCCGGCTTAACTGTTCCTTTTACTGTGGCTTGTCCCAGTTGATCACCTCAACACCTGGTGGCTCAACAGGAGGGTACTGCAAAATTACATAGAAAAGGACACACAAGGATTGGGTGAAGAATTGGATCCACAGCATGAGCTATCCCACTTAAGTGATATCCCACTATTATTCTTTCTTTATTCATTAGCTAGAAAACTTCTAAAAAAGAAACTAACCAGTTTCTCAAAATAGTTAGCTGATGCTTAGCATTATAGAAAGGTAACAAATGAGTTTTGAAAGATTTTGAAAAAATTAATCTATGGACTTCAAACATATTTATTACATTTCAATCTATTACAATTACTCTTCTGATTATTGCTCAATAATTGTCCCATCTGTTGTTAGTAGGAGCCTCATAAAGTTGCTTCTGAATTTTTTTGGCATGGCCACAGTCATCTTTGATAGTTACCTTGCTTCTGGTATGACAGGATGTTCCAGACTGGAAATCAGGCATTCAACATGTAAAGTTAGAATGTAGAGATAGACCCAGTGATGGAGGGTCAACTTAAATTTCAATATATCTGAGAAGAGTTGACTGTTAGTAGTTGAAAGATTAAGTAATTTGGCCACCAGAACAAATTATGTATAAACATTTGCTTTAAAAATTGAAATTTCTTAATCTGATGGTATAAATTTTTTCAGCGTATTTCAGAAGGAAAGCCAGGCCATATTTGGGAGGACCGATTTCAGAGAAAGATCTCTGTCATGCTTCGTGTCAGGCTCTGTCCCACTGCAGTCTTTAAACAGGGGCCTTCAGTGTGAATCTCACTGTCAATGCCAAGTACTAGAATTCATTTGGCTTCAGCTAAACCTTTGTCACAATACCTACATCTCTCCTGTAGTCAAGTGTTTTGAATTCGTTACTCAATTTGACAAGTACTAAGTGAGCTCTAGCACTGAGTAAAAGCAACCAGCTTGGTCCTGTATGAAATATAGGAAAAACAGCTGAGAAAAATAAAATATATTCCCTGCTTAAAGAGTCAAGACGGAGAGAAAAGATAAATGTAGGAGCAATTGGATTATGTTCCAGGATAATATGTAATTATGTGTCCAAATAAGTGGTACTCATGCTAGGTGCTGCAGTATTTCAGAGGAGAGATGAATTAGCTCAGCTTGGTCTGAGGTGGATTTATGGAGGAGTTATTTATTCCTTGATCGAAAGCCTGAAGAATGAGCGTCATTGCCATGGGCAGAAGGAAAGCAGAGTGAATAAACACACGAGCCCTTATGAAGGCTGGGACAAAAATGACTCGGAGAGTGGAGAGGCCAGCCACGCTGGAATTGGGGGTTCTCACTGGGACGTTGGCAGATACGTGTGGAGCACATGGGGTGGAATGTGTCTCTTGGAAAGTTTAAATATTAGGCTGAAGAGATTAGATATCAGGAAAGCACCTTTGTCCTTCATCTTGGCTGCCAAGGTCTTTGCTGTTAACCAGTAGCTAGCATGTTTATTTCTGGGGAAAAAAATCCAGGAGTATAATTAAAGTCAGAGTTAATATAATTAACTATCAGAGTTGGGAGTGTTAAAGGCAAGGTGTGCAGAGTGGGGATTTCGGTGAATGGTGAGAGAAAGGCAGTAGTAAACTCAGAGAGGGGAGTCTATTCGTTTATTGAACAAATATTTATTGGATACCTCTGTGAGTGAGCAAGGCACGTGCTGGGAGCTGAGGATGGAGAACACTGTTCCTTAAGATTCTGTTAATGGTCTGAATAATTGAAGAAGAATCAATACCTTGATGTGGATGACTTAATAATTTAATCCTTAAGAGTAGAATTTCAGATGAGGCGATAGTCGGGGAGAGGTGTCTTTTGTCTCAGTTGCCTTTCCTATTGTCTCAGATAATCCCATGTGTTTGGGCACCAACTGGGATGCCAATGTGAATACAAAGCTGAAAAGTGAGGCCAGGTGCGGTGCCTCACACCTGTAATCCTAGCACTCTGGGAGGCCAACGCCGGTGGATCGCTCGAGGTCAGGAGTTCAAGACCAGCCTGAGCAAGAGCGAGACCCTGTCTCTACTAAAAATAGAAGGAAATTAGCTGGACAACTAAAAGTATATAGAAAAAAGATTAGCTGGGCATGATGGCGTGTGCCTGTAGTCCCAGCTACTTGGGAGGCTGAGGCAGAAGGATCGCTTAAGCCCAGGAATTTGAGGTTGCTGTGAGCTAGGCTGAGGCCACAGCACTCTACCCTGAGCAACAGAGTGAGACTCTGTCTCAAAAAGAAAAAAGTGAATGAGTCTCTTCCAGACTTAATCTTTCTCACTTCCCTCTCGTTTTCTTGGCTTTTAGAGCTCCTAGGAGAACAAGAGAGCAGTAACAGCAAGAGTTCTGAAAATCTGAGGATAATGGCTCCAACACTGACTGCAGGCTAGCTGCTTTACAGCAGGGGGCTTCTTTAAGAAAAACCGTCAGAGAGCCTTTGTCACTCATTCGTTCCATCAATAAATATCGATCCTTCTATGCTCCAGGCACTGATGTAGGTGTTGGAAATGCAGCAGTGGACATGATAGAAAAAGTTTCTGCACTCATGGAGCCGATACTCTGGTGAGAAAACAAAAACACACACACATACAAACACACACAGTGTATTTTTAGTTTATGATAAGTGCTATTAAAAAAGTGTACAGTAAGGTAGGAGAATGAAGAGTGATGGGAGTGTGTGTGTGTGTGTGCGCGTGCGTGCAGGGGGAGGGGACAATAGTTTTAGATTAGGTGAATTAGAAACAAAAAACCCTTCTAGAAAATAATGTTGGAACACTTTGGAAATAATGTAGCAAAGAGAATGGAAAATGCGAAGGCCCTGGGGCATGAAGGACTAGGAATGATGGAGGGACAGCAAGAAGCTGGTGAGGCTGGGATCTTATGAGCTGGCACTTAGTGGTAGAAGACATTCTACTCTACTCCAATAAGAGTAGAACTCCTGTTCTACTCTTATTCTACAAGGTGAGACACAGCTCTGTCGCCACCCTGACAGCAGTGTGTCACCCCCTTGCCTCTACCCCAAGTAAAATCCACCCGTTATCCTGGCCAGGGGTCCATATTCCAACCTGCCCTCTCCTAACTCCCCCTGCCCCATCCATCCCTCTCACCTGAGTCCCAGCAGCCCTCGGGCCATCCACGTTCAGCATGTTGAGTGACATGGCTCTCTTCATTCTGCGAAAGAGGGTGGCACGAGGGGAACGAATCAATCCCAGGAAGGTCTGGCTCCCACTCTGGGAAGGACCTTCCAGTGCCAGGTCTGATCTGTACATGTGAAGAGCAGGCCAGTGCAGTTAGGGCTTTGGAGGCCTCAATAAGAAATGTATCCCAAGAGTGGAAAAACAAGCACCACGCGTACTCACCGGCAAATTGGTATTAACTGGTCAACACTTAAGTGGACATATAGGAATTACATTTATCGGGCATTGGGCAGGCGGGAGGGGGGAGGAGGGGATGGGTGTATACATACATAATGAGTGTGGTGTGCACCGTCTGGGGGATGGACACGCTTGAAGCTCTGACTCCAAGGGGGAAGCGGGGGAGGGAAGGCAACACATGTAACCTAAACATTTGTACCCCCTTAATATGCTAAAATAAAAAAAAAAAAAGAAATGTGGATTATTTACTGAGATGCGAATTGTGGGGTAGTTTTGAGAATGGGAGTGATATGACTTGATTCATATTTTTAGAAGATCATTCTAGATGCAGTTTATAAAGAATAGAGTGTATAGGGCAAGACTAGATGCAGTTCTAACAGGAGCAGTTTTGGTGGTCAAGGTGAGGGGAGGGTGGGTTGGGACTCCGGTGTGGAGGTGGAGGTTGTGAAAAGTGGCTGGACTTAGGTATTTTGAAGGTGGAGCTGGCAGAACTTGTTGACGTGCTTGAGTGTGAGGAAGAGAGGTGAATGAAGGCTGACCCTCCCCATCTTAGGGCGCCTGGCGGGCCTGGTCACGGAGAGGATGAAAGGCTGGCAGAGGACGGGTGGCTTCCCACTCACTGGATGTTTGTTAGATGAGTGAATGAACCGATTAATTAATGATGCTCCAAACTTGAGGTGACAGGGATGAGAAATCGTTTACTTCTTCACTATTAGGAGACAATAAGAATAGATAACAATCTGGAGTCATTCTAGAGCATTCTAGAGTTTCAGTGGTTAATGGTATAGCAACCTTTGAAGAAATATAGAGTACTTAGGAGTGTCATAACAGGCGGGCAAAAAAACCCCCACAAACGCATAGTCTAAGAGAATTAACACCAGACTGGAGGTCAACATATTTTCAGAGCTTGAGGTGAGGGATAGAAAAAACAGAATTAGGCATTTTCCCCTCAGGGCCCCCGACTTTTGCCTTGGCCACGTGCCTCCATTGATCTACCCACTTTAGAGGTTCAAGGGGGCATGGGCAAGACAACTTCCTTTTTTCTTGACAGTGAGAGAATAATCAATTGGACACTGACCCTTCAACTAGAACAGGGAGCTAGAAAACCTCTCCATCCAAGTTTTACAGGCTGTCATCCAAATGCAGCTTTGGCATATGTTGCCTAATAAGAAAAGCATAATTTCCTCAGTTGGCTTAATTCCATCTCACACATGAACCTTGCTGGGGCTATATAAGTACATCGTGTTTGTAGTAGAGGGCAAAGGGTGTATTTCCATTCCAGAATTTTCATCTCTTTGCTGTATGCATTCAAGCAACTACCAAGCCTAAGTTATTTTTCCTAACAACATTACAGGTGTGTGTGTGTGTGTGTGTGTGTATAATACTTTTTTATTTTGAAAAATTTAAAGAATTGCATAGTACAATGAACTCTCATACACTCTTCCTCCAGATTCTCACTCTGCCATATTTGCCTTAGTGCCATCCCTTTCTATCTACATATAAATATATATACATACATACATATTATTATAACTATTAGTGCTATTGAACTATTGAAGAGGAGGTTGCAGATACCATAACTTTTCCTCTTTCCTGATGTATCTCCTATGAACAAGGATATTCTCCTGTTCTACTCTTATTCTAAAGCGAAACACAGCTGTCGCCACCCTGACAGCAGCGTGTCACCCCCTGCCTCTACCCCAAGTAAAATCCACCCGTTATCCTGGCCAGGGTCCATATTCACACCTGCCCTCCTAACTCCCCGCCCCATCCATCCCTCTCACCTGAGTCCCAGCAGCCTCGGGCCATCCACGTTCAGCATGTTAGTGACATGGCTCTCTTCATTCTGCGAAAGAGGTGCGAGGGGAACGAATCAATCCCAGGAAGGTCTGGCTCCCACTCTGGGAAGGACCTTCCAGTGCCAGGTCTGATCTGTACATGTGAAGAGAGCCATGGAAGGTTCTTGAATGGTGGGTGGGCTCTGGTATCTGTCAGGGTCCTTTGATCCGACACTCACCCGGCTGTGCCCGCCACCCCTTCGCCTCAGAGGTGGGAGACCAGCTTCTCACTTCCACGCCGGATGGACTCGAGGAGCTTGGAGAAGGAGCTGCTACGACGAAGGGTCTGGGGAGGGGCCGGGGACACTGGTCAGTGCCCCTGAGGCCTGTCCAGTCCCCACCCCGGGAGCTGAAGCCAAGCCCAGCGTCACCTGCTGTTCTGCATTACCGGCTCTGTTGGAGGCTCCTAGAACAACAAATGGGGGACAGTGAGGTGGGGACATTCAGAAGCTACCTAGGGGAGGGCCAGGCAGGGGCTCACCAAGAGGGGCGGGCAGGTCCTCCCTGCTGAGGATTTCTTTGTACAGCTCTTCCGCCTGCTGGTACTTGTTCTGTTTCAGGTAGGTTGAGGCCTGCGGGGAGGGCACATCTTGGGTGATCTTGGCCCTCCTCTGGGAACTTCTTGGGACCCTGAGTTCCCTCAGTCCCTTTCTAAGGTGCAGGTCCCTTCCCTGTGTGACACCTTACCCTGGAGCAGAGTAGGTTTGGAGCCCGGCCCCACTTTTGCTTGGGGTCGAGGGCAGCTGACTTCCTGGCCCCAAGCCTCTTTCCTGTTCTACCTTGGGCCAGTGACACAACCTCCCTGTGCCTCAGTTTCCTCTTGTGCAAAATGGGGCGAGACAGTAGCTACCTCACAGGGTCATTGTAAGAACTAGGTGATCCAGGGCAAGGCTAAGGGGGCCTTGCCTGTCGTGAGCTAAATAAATAGCTGACGCTACCCAAAACAAAACAAAACAAAACAAAAAAATTCTCTTAATAACCACAGAACACTGGCCAAATTCAGTAAATTTAAATTGGATACTATACTACCATCTAATGCAAAGTCCATATTCAGATTTCAGCATTGATCCTACAATGTTTTTTCCAAAAACAGATTTTATTAAATTAAAAAGCATTTTATTTATTTTAATTGACAAATAGAAAATTACATCTATCATGTACCTGTATACATTGTAGAAGGGCTAAATTGAGCTAATTAACATATGCATTACTTCAAGACCTTATTTTTTGTGGTGAGAACACTTAAAATCTACTCTCTTAGCAATTCTCAAGAATATAATACATTGTTATTAACTATAGTCACCATGTTGTACAATAGACCTCATGAACTTATTCCTAACTGAAATTTTGTAGCCTTTGAACATCTCCTTAGTCCTCCCACCCCCAGGCCTTGGTGACCACCATTCTACTCTCTACTTCTATGGGTTCAAGTCTTTCAGGTTCTACACATAAGTGGGATCAGGTAGTATTTGTCTTTCTGTGACTGTCTTATTTCACTTAGTATAATGTCCTCCAAGTTCAACCACATTGTAAATGACAGGATTTCCTCCTTTTTTTTAAAGCTGAATAGTATTCCATTGTATATATTTACCACATTTTCTTTAACCCTTCATCTGCTGATGGACACTTAGGTTAATTCTCTATCTTGGCTACTGTGAACAGTGCCACAGTAACATGGGAGTGCAGATATCTCTTCAACTTACAGTAGGCCCTCCGTACCCACGGGTTCCACATCCGTGGGTTCAACCAACTATGAATCAAAAATATTAAAAAAAAAAAAA